CAAATAAATAAACACAAAAAATATATATACAGAACAAAGTACAGCAAAAATAATACTCAATATAAATAGTCGATATGTAAAAAACAAGTTGTCAACCACTGCATAGAAATATCATATGTTTAGAATTGAATATCTATCAAAATTATAACCTCTACCAACTCTTAACAATAACATAAAAAATATATTTCAAAAATTCCTAATTATCCTTAAGTTCTGAAATCATAGACTTTTCTCAAAACTACAGTATTTGGTTAACGACTCGATATTTTCTAAACCGATGTTTTGCAAATTGAAAATCAAAACCAATTCTTACGTTAAACAGAAATGCCATTCAAATCATTTTGCATAACTATAAGCGGTATATAATTAATGTCATTGTTTTGACTGAAATCTATGGAGACTTTAATCTTTGAAAATCGTGAGACACAAAGAGAATTGAAAACCAAAAACTCTAGACTTCTACTGAAATCCAAGTATTAACTGTAAAACTGTATTACGGGGTGTTATATGAAACTATTGATTAATGCGAAAGTATGCAAAATATGCAAATCATTTATAAACAAAAATTTCAATAGAAATAGAGAATAAATAACAAAAATAAATAAGAGTTAAGCCATGACTCGTGAGCCATACCTGGTTTGGCGTTGCGTTTGCAGACCCGCTCCAAGTTGTTCTTGAGAGGGGCCAGTAGTCCCTCGGCCTGTTCGAAGGACTCCTTGTCCTCGTCACTGGTGGTCAGGTCTTTGAAGAGCTTTCCGGTGACGGCCACAGTCATCGACGACCTCTTGTTATTGGGTTTACACAACACCATTAGGCCGTCGAATAGGAACACGTGCCGCTCGGTTAGGCGTCCGGATCGGGTGCCGGTGCCCGACAGCTTGCCTAAGGGGCCGTCCATCACGAACTCGTTGCAGAACTGGCCGATGTCTTTGCCTTCCCAGCCGTCGATAGAGCGTTGAAGTTCCGACATTTTGGTCAACGCCTGGGCTCTGTTGGTGCGGCCATACAGTCGCAGATAGCCCTCACCTGTAGGACACAGTCAATGCAAAAACCATTTCAATAATCATTCAATAAGACATGGCATTTGGTTTTCAACGATAAAAACTATAGTTTTCTCATAAATTCGTCAAAAAAGCAATTGATTGGTGACTAAATAAAAAATAAATATCATTGGCAAACATATTGAATAACAAGTGGACAGACATTCCATCAGTTTTCCCAATGGTTTTATTGTCATAGAGACCGATGACATACTAACTAAATATCACGAGAATTGTGTTTGCTTAATAATCAATAAATTATATAAAAATAAATCACAAATGCATTTAAGAAAACCTAAGAAAAACTACTGTTCAATGAATAAACACAATAAAAGGCTTTAAAGCAAACATTTATTATTTAATAAGGCATAAAGAATATGAAATGAAATATGCATTAAAACTACATTAACTATAGGACTGGGATGTGATGTGTGGGCGGGAAGAGTAGACACAGAATAATGCAACAAATCTTCCATTAAAAATATTTCAACAAAAAAAGCAAAAATCATAAAAAAAATAAAACCAGCTATTTCAATATAATTAAAATTTATAAGAAATCATAACAAAAACTCAAAAAAGATTAAAATGTATTAAAAATAAGAGAAATTGAATCAAAGCTAATGGAAACATCTGTTCCGACTAATAGGACGGAGAGGCCAGTCGTATAAAGAGCTAATACATGGGAGACCAGTGAATACACGTAAATAACGAAAATTGATAATTACTTTTGACAAACGATAGATAATTTTTAATATTAAATTTGAATTTATTTTTGCGCTTATATTTATTCTTAGACAACACATTAGAAGCCATTTGTTTGGTACGGCACCAGTAGCTCTCCAACATAGGTTTGATTGAAACACACATAAAAAGAGCACAAGAATACTGTGAGAGAGAGTGAGAGCGGAGACTCTGAGGTATGTGTTGGAGAGTTGGAGACCAACTCTATGCAAGAAACGAGTCGATCGATACCGACGCCGAATGGCGAGTAATACTACGGCTTCGCGTCTAACTATATGAGAGACTTATATATCATATACGGCTTTATATGTGAAACTCGACTCCAATTGCATCACAACAAACGCATCCAATAAAACAAGTAACCTCTGAATGCCATCTCATCCAAGCATCACATTCTGATACTGCTCACCACCAGCAGCATCACCATCACCATCAATGCACCTGTATTTCTATGGTTATGCTCTCTCTCTCTCTCTCACAGTATTCTTGTGCTCTTTTTATGTGTGTTTCAATCAAACCTATGTTGGAGAGCTACTGGTGCCGTACCAAACAAATGGCTTCTAATGTATTGTCTAAGAATAAATATTGTAGTGTCGATTATAATAGACATAACTCTCAACACTAGAATAGCATTAAATTCTCATAAAACTCGCATTAAGTATATTATTGTTGACATTTTCATTCATACGTGGAGTTCATTAAATTTATTTAACAAGTATTATAGGTATACCCAAAGGTATTCAAAAAAAAAGATGAAAAATTATCCAAAATTATAATATGTTTCAAAAATAAATTGAAAAATCGCTACAAAATTATCTACATTTTTATATGTACTCTAAAATAATTCTTAGGTACTTATGCTATTAAATAGTGAATAAAAGATATGTTTATAATACATCAAACAGCTTTCTCTCTCTCTCTCTCTCTCTCTCTCTCTCTCTCTCTATCGCTTCTTAAATCTGATTAATACGAGGGACACAAACAACACTAGTTTTAATGCGCGGACACACAGTCTATGAACTTTTCAAAGAGAGTCAACATTTATGCAAAATGAATGGCTGACAACCAATGGGGTATCCAAAGTGGTTGGCATCGCAACTCATATAAATTAAAATTGAAATTAAATGCACTGAACTGCACTGTACACCAGATTAGATATACCGGAACTCTGTACTGACCTTAATTCAATCATAAAACTATACCGATAATTCTCAAACTATATTCTAGACACCAATAGCTAATTTCATACAATAATACTTATGTTAGAGAGCTTGTTGATACTGAAACTGGTGATCCCAAGTCTTTAATGTCACGTTAGGCTACAGTTAATTGATGAAAATAAGCCAAATTTAGATCCTTTTTTATTCTTTGTATTCACAATAAATATAATTATGTACTTTTATTATGGCATTCCTATTAATCATAATTAGATCGGAATAGAAAATAGCATTTCTCGGAAAAACAATTTTCATGTACATTGCAATCACCTAACAATATACTCGCATATATTATACTTATTATCAAAGGTATAGATAATAAAAATAAGCCCATTATGGCTAAACAGTCAACAGTTTTGACAAACGGTATACTATTTTAGGAATTGTGTAATAATTTAATATTTTAGAGAATTTAAAGAATATTCTACAATATATTCTACAATATTACAAAATACACGCAACTATTAGTGACATTAAATAAACCAATTCAAAAAATATGTTTAAAAAGTATTAAGTATTTTGATACTTAAGTCTCATTCAACAAAGTAAATGACAGCAAATAGATCCTAATTATTGGTACAACTATTCACAAACCCACTCATGATATATATATATTTCAATCCCTGCTCTCATAAGATTACCATAAATCTAAAAAATATTCAAAAATAAATAAAAATATAATGCAGAATACATTTCAAAAATTATTGGCGCTTTTAATTATTAATCATAATTAGATCGGAATAGAAAATAGCATTTCTCGGAAAAACAATTTTCATGTACATTGCAATCACCTAACAATATACTCGCATATATTATACTTATTATCAAAGGTATAGATAATAAAATAAGCCCATTATGGCTAAACAGTCAACAGTTTTGACAAACGGTATACTATTTTAGGAATTTTAGAGAATTTAAAGAATATTCTACAATATATTCTACAATATTACAAAATACACGCAACTATTATAGTGACATTAAATAAACCAATTCAAAAAATATGTTTAAAAAGTATTTACCGGTATATTTTTGATACTTAAGTCTCATTCAACAAAAGTAAATGACAGCAAATAGATCCTAATTATTGGTACAACTATTCAAAAACCCACTCATGATATATATATATTTCAATCCCTGCTCTCATAAGATTACCATAAATCTAAAAAATATTCAAAAATAAATAAAAATATAATGCAGAATACATTTCAAAAATTATTGGCGCTTTTAATGGATTGTCAGTCAGTCCCTGACTTCAGGAGATAGAGAAGGGGGCCGACAGCTAATGGAAAGTACCCCCAACTCTATGGCGTAAACATCAAGACATTGCGTCCGGATATCTAAGTCTTGAGACATAGATTTCAAACAGATTCTGCTCTAAACACAAACACATACATAATAATTGTATATATAAAACACATATTTGTCTAAAAATATGCAAAATATGAAAATTCCTATCAATTCTGAGAACAAACTAAATATTTATATTTGTTTAAGAATTTTATTCATTTTAATGCAAATTTCGTATGAATTCCTTCTCATTATATAAGAGGTGTTATGTTTGACGAGGGATTCCGTGAAATGTGTTCAAAAACATTGATTAATTACACAATCATATAGATCTGCAAAATTAGTTTCAAATAAATAAACACAAAAAATATATATACAGAACAAAGTACAGCAAAAATAATACTCAATATAAATAGTCGATATGTAAAAAACAAGTTGTCAACCACTGCATAGAAATATCATATGTTTAGAATTCAATATCTATCAAAATTATAACCTCTACCAACTCTTAACAATAACATAAAAAATATATCTCAAAAATTCCTAATTATCCTTAAGTCCTGAAATCATAGACTTTCTCAAAACTACAGTATTTGGTTAACGACTCGATATTTTCTAAACCTATTGCTTTGCAAATTGAAAATCAAAACCAATTCTTACGTTAAACAGAAATGCCATTCAAATCATTTTGCATAACTATTAGCGGCATATAATTAATGTCATTGTTTAGACTGAAATCTATGGAGACTTTAATCTTTGAAAATCGTGAGACACAAAGAGAATTGAAAACCAAAAACTCTAGACTTCTACTGAAATTCAAGTATTAACTGTAAAACTGTATTACGGGGTGTTATATGAAACTATTGATTAGTGCGAAAGTATGCAAAATATGCAAATCATTTATAAACAAAAAATTCAATAGAAATAGAGAATAAATAAGAAAAATAAATAAGAGTTAAGTCATGACTCGTAAGCCATACCTGGTTTGGCGTTGCGTTTGCAGACCCGCTCCAAGTTGTTCTTGAGAGGGGCCAGTAGTCCCTCGGCCTGTTCGAAGGACTCCTTGTCCTCGTCACTGGTGGTCAGGTCTTTGAAGAGCTCGATGTACTTAAAGTAGGAGAAGCAGTGATAGACGGGACCGATAAGTAGCTTCGGGAGGACGTATCTGAAGGCGGGAAGCATGCCGTGACCGGTGGTCGACAGCGACATCACTGTCGACGGGTCGGCCAACAGGCTCTGGAGCTTATCATTGCCTCTGCCGTTGCCGCCGGTGGTGGACGACTGGTTCACGTCGAGGATATACCTCTCGTACACATCAAACTCCGCACATTCGGCCAACTCCTCGAAACAGCTGCCAATACTGGGCGGACAGCTATCCTCTGCCACTTCCAGCGCGTCCTCAATAGAGCCCAAAAAATTCACACTAAAGTCATAGATGTCGTCGATATTGAAGAACAATTTGTCCAACTCTTTGGGCGCCAGTAGTTTACGGAAGGGGTCGCGAAATACTTTGATTATTAGATTCAAATCACGTATGAATTGTTTCTCTTCGTGTATGAGATCTTTGACCACTTCGTCGTACGTCACACTCGTCCGCCGTTTCTGTTCGCACAGGTCTTCGTTGACATTACTGTTGAGCGACACGTCGTCGTCCGGATAAAACATATCCATCAGCACTTTGTCCGCACACATCGCCACCTAATCAACACATCACCCGTTAATACAAGTCATTAGCAAATCATACATCAATTAGCAGTACAAATGGCAACAGCTATTCAACAAATCTAATGCATGCATACATAGACAGCCATATCTCATGGTCTGAACCAAACTATAAATGTCTACAAAATAAGATCACTTTCACAGACATTTGGAAAAAGCAATTTGTTGACAATTTCATAATCATAATATTATGAATATCTATGAAAAAACTAACAATTAAGTCATCTGTCAAGTCATGGTATAGAGATATAGCTATTAATATACACAATGACCACTCAATTTAGACTCAGTTATACTAAATTAGACACAAATGACTGCACGATCACTTCCAACACACAACGAATGGGTGGAATGGTTACCACAAATATATGACAAAATGCATGAATACCTTAATGTCTTGACAGGTGATCACATCGTGCCTTATATTCTTGACGTAATGACCGGCCAATTGGAAAATGTCGGCCGCGATGTACTCGAGGATCACAACTATATATTGCGTGCACTGAATGTCCACCTTATGGTTGAACACCTCCTTCTGGAGCAGTTGGTTGAGGCGCTCGACGGGCATACAGATGGGCATCTGATCCGGCGTTAAGCTCTTGTGTTTCTTAATGTTCTTGAGTATAGCCAACGTCTCGTTGGCCTTATTGGTGGCCCACCTGTCCAGCGGGTACGGGAACAGCCTCTTGACGCGCTCCTCCACGTCGGCCACAGTTATGCGCTGATTGTTAATCAGTTGCGACAGTAGTCTCAGTATGAGTCCCTCCACGTACAGTAGGGCGTCCTGTTTGGCGGTGAGGCCCGAGTGCACCTTCTGCTGGATCTGCTCGAGTGACGCCAGAAACGTCTTCTTCCACTTCTTGTAGTTGTCATCGCTCTCGAAGTTATAAAAGTCCGGGTCTTTCGTGAGCGCATACATGGCTACAGATATGACCACTTATATGGTAATACACTCACTATAACACTGTTCACTGCAATCACAATCACAATAACAATAACAACAATATAATAACAGTTAATGTAAATGACTGTCAATTCATATATAATTCACTTATTTGAGTATCGTTTGTAATACAAAACTAGTGCTCAGTTTGTCGTTAATATTTGATTAACGCTTTGAAATCTATTTATTATAATTCATTGAATGCTTTCACAGTTTATGTAATAACCATATCATTGACAACGGAGACAATAACTGCTGAGGAAATAGGTATCAATTGGTGGTGCAGTGATCGGGGTAATGGTGCGACAGTGGCATACATTGGCTGCCAATTTGATGGACACCTCGACACACGAGTCAATGGACGCTCGCCATCGAGATGTCTGTGCGGACAGGGAGTGAGTGGCGGTCGTCACACAATCACTCATCACATCCCAAACCTATCCCAAATGATCGACAATACGTGAGACAAGACACTGGTGTTTGTGTTGGCTTTGCGACGACTATAACAATACAAATAATAATAATAACACTAAATATAGAGTGTATTACTGTTTATACGCTTATAATAACAGTAATGGCGACTAATATTTAATTATTAAATACAGTGTATTATATAGAGGCGAACACTCTCTCATCCACTCTCCCATCACTCTCCCAGCCCTTAGCCTTCATCACCAAAGCACTCCTGAACTCTCTCCCAGCGCTCACTCCCCGCGTCGCTCCCCCATTGTCTGCCAGTGAGTGAGTCAACCCTCTCTCACTCTCTCTCTCACTCTCTCTCTCTCTCTCTCCAACTCTCTGCTCACAGACAGTCAGACAGTCTCACAAATACTCTGTTATTTAACTTTTCACATATCCACTCACTGTTCGCAATAACTGTGTTGTGTTAAGCAAGCAATACATGTCCCCTAGTATTCTGTAGACGTGCTTATATTAACAAAACCTATGACTCCTGACCGCATTAGTAGAGTTATGTTGTTTGTGACTATATATATTTTATTGTGATATTGCATAACAAATACCATTACAAATGTTAAAAGAAAGTGGTGCTTTAAAAATTATGAAATAATTAATAAAATCATAAAAAATTACAATTTAAAAATGGTAAATCATTAATATTGATTAAAAATCAAGTAACCCATCAACGTATTCACAAGCTATCGCCAATCTCTTCGTAATTTCTAAAAAGTTTATATTTTACACGTTTGGATAGGGGTTTGCTAAATGACACCTAAACATAACGTTATACGTGAACACGAATGCGTGATATTTAAAGTTCAAAACAAATGCCATAAAAATTTCATGAGAAATGGTGTGAAAATCCCTAAACAGACGTAAAAATCCCTAAACAGACGTAAAAATCCCCGAAATTGATGCGAAAAGTGAGTGAAAAAGTGAGACATTTTGGCACAACTGATGAACTCATGAACGCCTCTCCACTGAAAACCAATCACTCGTATTGTAAACAAATCGCTAATCAATCGCTTCATTCACTCGTTTTGGTGGCACTCAAGAGGAGAGACAATGCCTTTACAGACCACACCGATGGCCAGTCCTACCGAAGAGCAACAGGAGAAACTGTTGGACGAGTCGCTGGGCATCGTTAAGGTCCAGTCCTTTCAGATGAAGTGCTGTCTCGATAAAGGTATGACCACTTCCTCCTCAGTTGCCACACCATTAGGTTTACTCATGTGTCCAAACACTCATACATTGGCGCATATGAATGGTGTGTCCATTGAGATGATCACACGTTCACATCTGTCTTACAATCGGTTCCCGCATGAAAACATGTGTTACATTACACGTGTCCACACATTACATAACAATCACTCGATTGATCCCATTTTTAGACATATTATAAGACTTGATTTAATATAAATTACACTTTGATTGATGTCAAGACACGTGTCATTAAATGAGTGATAATTTGAATGACAGGTAAACTCATGGAAGCGCTAAAACACGCGTCGAATATGTTGTCTGAATTGCGGACATCACTGCTGTCCCCGAAGTCCTATTACGAGCTCTACATGTCTGTCACGGATCAGTTGAGACATCTGGAGATGTATCTGTTGGACGAGTTCCAGAGGGGCCGCAAAATGGCCGACTTGTATGAGTTGGTCCAATACGCCGGTAATATCATTCCTCGACTCTATCTCCTCATTACTGTCGGACTCGTTTACATGAAGACAACTCCCGGTTGTCGTAAAGACATTCTCAAGGATTTAGTTGAGATGTGCAGAGGTTTGTCGCATGTCTTGAGATTGTTGTCATAAACTGATCTCAAATAAGACAATATTGTATTGTATGGACAGGCGTTCAGCACCCACTCCGAGGCCTATTTCTGCGCAATTATCTGCTGCAGTCGTGTCGTAACGTATTGCCGGACGTGACTGAAGACGTGGTGCTGTCGTCGGGTGACCCCAAAGAGGACAAACCCGGCTGTGTTCAGGACTCCATTGACTTTATTCTTCTGAATTTTGCTGAAATGAATAAACTATGGGTTCGTATGCAACACATCGGACACACGCGAGACAAAGACAGGCGCGAGAAGGAGCGCCTCGAGCTCCGACTCCTTGTCGGCACTAATCTTGTAATATATTTGCTATGTTTTGCTTTATTTGACACTAATTTGTGTGCACTTTTTTGGACCAATCTATAGGTACGGCTCTCGCAGTTAGAATCGGTTGACTTAGAGGTGTATAAGAAGGTTGTGTTGCCGGGTATTCTGGAACAAGTGGTCTCCTGCCGCGACTCCATAGCCCAGGAATACCTGATGGAGTGTTTGATCCAAGTATTCCCGGATGAGTTTCATTTGGCGACTCTACAGCCGTTCCTCAACTCGTGCGCTCAGTTGACACAGAATGTGAACGTCAAGAACATTATCATTGCGCTGATCGACAGGTTGGCGATGAGTAAAGACATCGAACTGCCCCACGATTTGTTCGACATCTTCGCCAAACAGATCTCGCAGATAATCCAAACGCGAACCGATATCTCGCTCGAAGACATTGTACTCATGAAGGGATCGCTGATTAACTTCTCGCTAATTTTCTAGCAGTTATTATCGTTTGCGCTTCTCTCATAATTAACACACAATTCATTGCGAGACTGCCAATAATTTCTGTTCTTAGTCTGCTAATAAGGCAACTCTTCGTTAAACCCATTTCTCAACAACAAGTTTTTCAAACTTCCCTTCAATTACGGATCGAGTAATGGCGTCACGGGTTTGTCGCCAATCAAAATGAGTCTTAAGCTCTCGGCCTATAAAGTGAGTGAAATTTGTGTCTGAAGTTATTATTTCTATATTTATTTCAGTGTTTATTGTTTTATTTCATAGGATTTACTCAAAGAGACGGCGGCTCACGATCTGCACAAAGAGGTGACACTCAGTCTCATAAACAGTGCGCTCGAGAACAACGCCGAAGAGGCGGTGGAAGAGTCGGACAGACTTACGCTCGAAGAGATGGAAGTATTCTTATCGCAAATATGCGATCCACTCATTAATGGCAAAAACTCTGGTATTGATATCGACGAGAATGACGAGGACTTCATCGACGAACAGCTGTTATTGTCTCGTTTTATTCACTTCTTATTTTTGCCGCAATCCCTGCAAAACAGCACTCAATTAGACAACTATTATCTGTTGCTGTCGTCCGCCCGTAAGATCCTGTCCTCCGGCGGACCCAAACGTATTCGATATACATATCCGTCACTTGTGTTTGAAGCACTCAAACTGGCGCTCAAGTACTCGGCGGAGGGCGACAGCTCTGAGGACAGGGATCCCAAGTGGGAGAAGAAGTGTCAGAAGATATTCCAATTCGTCAATCAGACCATCGGTTCGCTCATGAAAGAGAGCAACTGTTCAGAGCTGTGTCTCAAACTCTTCCTACAGTCGGCCCAAAACGCGGCCAAAACTAAAGTCGATAATCGAGAGACCATTGCCTATGAGTTCATTAGTCAGGCGTTTAGTATATATGAAGAGGAGATCAATGATTTTAAGTCCCAATTGTTTTGCCTTTTGTTGATTATAAGTACTGTTAAAGAGATTAAGTTTGAAATTGAAGACAATTATAGTCCACTGAAGAGCCAGTGCTGTCTAAACGGCGCCAAATTGGTTAAGAAATCGGATCAGATTCGCGCCATTCTTGCCGCCAGTTTACTGTTTGTCGACTACGAGAACAATACAATTGAATCCGATTTAATGAAATGCATTAAAAAGTGTTATAAAATTGCGTCAAATGTTTTAGACATCGAGTTACAGCTGCAACTATATGTGGAAATATTATCGCATTTAACACTTCTGTTGAGATTTAATGATAAAGACATCGAAGAATTGTGTCGACAATTAGTCGAGAAAATTGATGAACAGAGCAAAGAGACGGCACTTTCAGAGCTCATTCAACGCCAATATTCCAATAATATATCACTTCTTAAGCATAAAAATATTGTTAAATCAAGCGATTGATAAGTTTTTTAAAATGAATTTCTAAAAAGAATGTATTTTTTGGGTGTATACCGGTATTGGTTGCATTTGTAAGCGTATATTTACTGTATATCTATCTCTTATATAACTTATATATGTTTTTATTATTTATTAAATGAAATAAAATTTATTAATCATTGATTTCATAAAATTATTTTACCTTTATTTCATTTATTCTACCCTTTCGTGTGTCACTAAAGTGTTCATAAATTTCCATAACTTCCGGTAAAACATAGTTTTTAAGTGACTTATCAAATGGATTCAACTTTTTATTTCCAAATTGCTCTCATTTTTCTCACAATCTTTAATTCAATACAGTATTTATTTTTTATTCGCATTTCATATAAATATTTTACAATTTCCTTAAAATTTTTCAAATACAGTATTTTATTTAGTAAACACTTCTAAAATTATTTTGAAATTACACTGTTTTGTTTAAATTATTTTAGACCTTGTTACTCGAAGCAAGTATTATTACTTGCTTATATTAAATATAACCGATCATTTTTAAAGAGATGTTTAAAATAATATTATACTTAACAATGATGTATGCATTGGTATACCTTCATAATGGTATGTATGCATCCATTTCGTATATAATATTTACTAATTAACTAAAATGTCTCTATATTTTGCATGATATGGATTTATGTGAACCCATATATGCAGTGCAATGTATGGACAAGGATGTGGTGAAGTGTAGGTGCGGTCCGAGGCCGTGGGCTCAAGAGGTGGTCAACACAGAGCTCACTATAGACTGTTGTATTGGATTCATAAGAAGTGGTGAAGGAGTGGTTGATTCGCAGGATTACTGTGTGATTGGCAAACAATTCAGTCATAAGCCCTTCAGAGACTGTTGCGTTCATCTCAAACAACTCTCATATTGTCTCCAATCATAGCATTCATTCAATAATTGTATTTCAATTGTATTTCTACATACAAACTACAAAAAACTTGTTGTTCCTTGTATCAATTAAAAGTTGTGAAAACTTTTCAATTGACCAATGTACATGTATGAAAAGTGCATAAACTTGTATAAATTACTTACAAATTAAATAAAATTTGTTGAAAACTCAATAAAACTTATGAATTGTTTAAATATCGATGAGATTGAGTGACAATTAAGACACGATTATAATCGTCGTTCACATCAAAACTGATGATAAGTTTGTATTTCAATGCATTCAATGAGTGAGTGTTTGGCGCCTTTGCTTTGAACGCAGTGTTGAGTCATTGAATGAGTGGACGACTGAGTGGTGAGCCATACATACCATACATGCGTTCAGTTGTTGTGTGCCTTCAGTGTCATCACTATTATCACCACAACTGTGTCCACAACTGTGTCCACACACTCACACGATGGACGAAGATGACGTCAAACCTGTCATCAAGACTGAGATGATTGACATGATTGACACGAACGGCCAAGACTTAGACCTATTGGTACCCAAGTGTGAGCCCATCGATGACATCGACACAGACATCAAACTCGAGGTACCGATGGCTCCCATTAGGACGACATCGTCGACAGCCACCGATGGCAACGATATCATGACGGATGAGATCGAGAGGTTGGCCTTCGAGGAGATGTGCGAACAGACGATCAAAGAGTTACACAAACTGTTCCCCGAAGTGGCCATCAGTCAGGTGTTGGACGCTCTCATCCAAAGCGATTGGTCGGTGTTTACCGCCGCTGACAGACTCGTGACACTCACCAACTGTCCCAATCATCACCACAACACCAATGGTGTGCCCAATGGTCTCTTCGCAGACATACAAAACTTACCAAAGAAGTGATGCCAAAGACAGTGACAGTGATGTCGTTTGTGTGCTATTAATACGCGATTTTGTCTTATTTTTCATGATTAGTGATACCACGCATGGGTTTACCATTAGTATTGATAATTACTGTGAAGGCAATGTACCAAACATAACATATATTACCTTAGTCCTTTTTTTACATTGAATTTATTCCTGGTATTACTTTTCTACACTTTGTTTGACATTATAATTGATAATTGTTTGTTAATTAGTTCATTAAAATGGGTTTCATTTCTACTGTACTGTATGCTATGCTATACTTATAAATAACATTGTAATTACAAATATAATATTTTTATTAATCAAATTAAAATTTACATTTCATTGAACCCTCTATTTATAAATTGTAATTAAACCGTTGTACAAAAATAACTTTCTATATTAATCTACTGTATGTACAGTGTACACTTTTGTGTATAATTTGAAAATTTTTATTAATAAAAGTATCATGTAAGAATTAGATACTAATGTAGATATTTTTATTGATTTAAATGTTATCGATTTAGTCAACATTTCTGACAAAATAAATTTTACTTGCACTTAAGGTTGAAAATTTCAGTGAAATTAATTTTCTACCTTAAAATGTTATTAAAACTCGAAATAAAATGATTAAATGCTATAATTATTAGTAAATTCACATTCAATAACTCTAATTTATATCACTTTAAATATAATAAGAATTAAAAGAATTACAATAATTTTCAAAAACTCGGACTGTTTTTATTCTCATTCACATTTTCCCTCTGAATGGGTCACGTAGTCGTGAAATTTATTGAAATTTATTTTCAGGTGCAATATTTCAATGGAATTTACTGAAATATTTAAGGTTAAATTTATGAAATATTTCATCACTCGCATCCTTACTTGTACTTTAGTTTTTAATTAAAAGTATTTAGCTTTAATGCAAAAGTTTTGCGATATTGTGAACAGAATACACTAACTACTAACAAGTAAGTGACTAGTAAGTGAGTCTTGAAGACTAGGGAAAATGTATCTGGATCAATAGTGCTATGATTGTAATATGGTATGAATTTTTTTTTAAAAATTAACTTCAAAAAACACTCTGTGTTTGTGCAATCATTTTAAAGAATTGACATTAATATTGCATATTCTCATAATATACAGTATATTGCACAATTCTATTGTTTGATCTATATTTCATTGTTTAATATAATTTAATTTGTATATGAAAAACAAATATCCCAATTTTAAAAGAATATTTGATAATTTAATAAGTTATCTTATACTGTATTGTTATATAGTATACTGTAGATAGTTTCTATTGCCATGTACAGTATTTTATATTATTCTCTAAGTTTTATGGACGATAACCAGTGGTTATTAACCACTCAATATGATCTGAATTTTTTAAAGTAGACTATCATGTTATCAATAAGTAAATGTCATACTTTATATATCTGTAGTAATATCAGTATTGAGTTTAGAATTTCAATTTAAGCAAAATTGCATCTGGTTCTTGACTCTAATTATAGAAAGTAATAAAAACTCATGAATATTAGTTAAATAAAGTACAGTACAAGTGAAAGGATATAATAAAAAGCTGAAAACAGGTATTAGGGAATATTCAACTCCCAATTGGGACATTATATTTATTAATAATCCCACACTTAATGCCGGACTACGAAAGAGCACCTGCACCTCATCACACAATACGGAATGCATGCACACAAACACATAGATAACAGACAGCCTTCGCATCTGTGCATCCCTGACCTTACGTCATGTCTCCCATAGAAACGGTGGCATTGATTTGTCTTCTCCACTCACAGAATACACATCCCATGAATACACTACCGGCGCCAACAGCTCATGGCAATGGTTTCTTATGCCTGGAGTCTGACGTCAGTTCCCCACACAGAATGTAATTGTATGCCAAACAAGATTCCGTAAAAACATCCACCAGAATATACACATAGCATAGCATAGCATAGCATAGCATACACTGGAATAGTGAGCTCAATATATATCTAGAAACCACATCCCAAGCCATTTGTGTTTATATGACTCCATTATAACCACCAAAGAGTGTGCAATACATTTGTGACACAAATATGTGTTGAAATCACGGCATCCAGTGTTCACTCATTTGTGTGAATCAACTGTTTTGCGATCCACTTATTCGCTTAATTATTGACAACAATATATTAATATATATATTATATACGAACAAACAGTTTGACTCAAATTCTTGAGAGCAATGAATTGTACAAACATTTTGTGGACAATATATTTAGTGATCGCTTTGATGGCGACCGTCGGCTACTGTATGGAAGAGTACGCCCGATATATACCGGATGAGGAGGTCGTCCATCAGAGGAGTATTCGTGTGAAGAGGAAGGGCGGCAAATCTGGCCGTAAATCCGGGAGCCGTAAATCAGCCACAAAACAGAGACCCAAACCCGCCGATCCCTATCCCAAACAACCGGCTCATAATCCCAATTATAATCCAGCTGGTAATAACCCAAGTGCCCCATACCCTAAGCAACCCGGTCAACAAGGCTATCCTGGTCAAACTGGCCAGCATGGATACCCTGGGCAAACTGGTCAACAAGGATACCCTGGTCAAACTGGCTGTGAGTAAACATTATGTAATCTTTTATATTATCATTAAAATTAGATGCATATATTTTTTATTAATATTATGTTATTATTGGGCAATAAGTGATTTATAATT